GAATGCAGGAAGCAATAAGGCAGGTAGGTGCTTATAAAGATCTGTTCACTCATGTTTGTAAATACCCAGATTGAAGCAACAGACTCTAACAGACAAACCTCCAACATTTGTGAATTTATGAAGCAGTTTCACATTCATCCCTCAAGCATCTATTGAGCATGTAATATGTGCATGACAAGATGCCAGAGATACACAACCAAGCAACACACAAGCACGTGGCAAAACACAGGGACAGAGGAATGCAGTGGCATGTAACATGCACTAGAAGAAAGCTCCACAAAGCAGGGATCTTTTCTTGGTCACTGACATATATCCCCTTCCTAGAGCAGAGCCTAGGAATTTTGCAGGTACTTAGGAATATATGCTGATTGAATGAAAGCAAGCACAGAAGAGGGCACAGAACCCAGCCAGTGAACTGGCTATTAATTTATTTGAGCTCTAAGGCAAACCAGTATAGAAGGTGTGTTATTATCATTAACCCCCATTAGGAAACAGAAACAGAGTCTCAAAAACTGAAAGGGACACACCAAGATGCCCCAGGTTCTAAGTGCTGGAGTGTGACCTGTATCAGCAAAGCCCATACTCTTTCCTTAAAATTATAGCCACTGTATCCGTACTTGTAAGATAATAGCAAAGGAAACGAGACCACAAATGACTCTGCCTACATTTGTTCCTCCCCAAAACCAAAATCCAGTTTTGGAACATGCAGTGAAATTCAGGAAGTTCTAACTGAAACAGAAACGTGAGTGTTTAGACACATTTCAGAGTTGACCTTCTAAGAGGTAAGATCCTCAGCTTCTCCACATTAACCAGAGAACCTTTAAAGCAGACCCAACAGGCTAAGGGCATTAAATAATTTGAACATTTAATTTTTAATGGCATAGGAAAATGAGTAACATATAATTCCTAAAATCCATCGAACTGTGCACTTAAAATGGTTATGACGGTAAAAAAGAAAAAGCAAAAGAAATAGTATGGGAGGACAGGGTTGGGAAAAGCAACCTTCGATTGGAGTTAAAAACACTTTCATGGAGGAGATCACATTTGAGCTGGAATTTAGAGAACAAAATTAGTAGGGCTTTGATAGGCAAAAGTAAAGACACATCCGCCGAGAAGCCAGCATGAGCAGAGATGCCCAGTCAGACATGACAAGGGCACAGCCATGGACTGTTAATTACTTGCTTTTCGGGCACAGACAGGATGGGAGCTAGCAAATGAAGGAGGCAGAGACACAGGACCATGGATGCAGCCCTCCCAGTGAGTTCAATCTGGATTCTGAGAAACCAGGAGTCAGTTCATCCTGGGAGTGACGTATATTTGTTTTTCAACATCCTGGAGGTAAGGCAATGAGTTAGAAAGGTGTTAGAACATCCCTGCAAGCAGCACTAGTGCCTGAATGAGGGACACTTACTGAGTGATCAGGAGTAAGAGGAGGGACAGACCCTGGAAACATTGCAGAAGCACAAGCTTTCTGTCTTGGTGACAAATTGAGTATCTGTATACCTGTGTGCTGAAGAAAGAGGAGTGTAGGGCCACCTTTAAAAAACAAAGACTTGGCCGGATGTGGTGGCTCAGACCTGTAATCCCAGCACTTTAGAGGCCAACGTGGGTGGATCACCTCCATAGGGAGTTGGAGACCAGCTTGACCAACATGTAGAAACCCCATCCCTACTAAAAATATAAAATTAGCCGGGTGTGGTGACAAGCCTGTAATCCCAGCTACTTGGGAGGCTGAGGCAGGAGAATCACTTGAACCTAGGAGGTGGAGGTTGCAGTGAGCCAAGATCACACCACTGCACTCCAGCCTGGGCGACAAGAGTGAAACTCCATGTCAAAAACAAACAAACTTGAAATTCATCCTCATTCCAAAATAAAAAACTAATTTAAATGATCAAAAACTCATCCTGTAAAGAAAAAGTGGTACATATACACCATGGAATACTATACAACCATGAGAAAGAATAAAATTATATCTTTTGCAGCAACATGGGTGCAGCTAGGGGCCATTATTCTAAGCAAATCAATGCAGGAACAGAAAATCAAATATGTTCTCACTTGTAAGTGGGAAGTAAACATTGGGCAGTCATGGATATAGAGAAGGCAACACTAAACACTGAGGACCACTCGTATGACCGGTAGGGAAAGGGGCATGGGTAGAAAAACTATTGAATACTACTCTCAGTACCTGGATGAGGGGATCAGTTGTACCTCAAACCTCAGCATCACACAATATATCCATGTAACAAACCTGCACCTGTACCCCCTGAATCTAAAATAGAAGTTGGAATTATTTTTTTAAAAACCAACTCATCCAGCTGGGCACAGTGGCTCATGCCTGTAATCCCAGCACTTCAGGAGGCTGAGGCAGGTGAATTACCTGAGCTCAGTAGTTCAAGATCAGCCTGGGCAGCATGGAGAAACCCCGTCTCTACTAAAAATACAAAAATAACTGGGCATGGTGGCGCATGCCTGTAATCCCAGCTACTTGGGAGGCTGAGGCAGAATTGCTTGAACCCAGAAGGCAGAGGTTGTGGTGAGCTGAGATTGCACCATTACACTCCAGCTTGGGCAACAAGAGCAAAACTCCATCTCAAAAACAAACAAACAAGCAAGCAAACAAAAAAGCCCTCATTCTGCTCATGGTCACCTGCCAGGAGGATTTTCTGTGTGAGAAAAGCTGGCAGGTGTGTGATCTTTAGCATGCTCCTTCCTTACCCCTGGTCCCCTTCTAAGGTGGGTGTCCAGCCCAACAGCTTCATCTCACAAAATTCTACCCTGGGGCGGAGATTCCTACTGTGCAGTGTAGGGAGCCGTTCCAGACATAATTGGCAAGGAGGGACTCTGACTGCCCAAAACTACCATTCATTCCAGGCAATTCCAAAAATTTGTTTATTCAGCCTTTTGGTATTAAACATCCTGGCATTATTTATGCCCGTAGACTTGTCACAGTGTATTGCTTGTCAAAGTAAGACAGGAATTATGGGAAACACTATTTTCAGTCCTGTCCAGTGGAAAAATGATGAGAAAACCAAGCACATTTTTCCCTTTCTTCAGCAACTGCCTCTACAAACACCGTATTTTTATAAGATAAAAACCACCTCAAGCAACATGAGGAAAATACCTCCAGCAGAATCCGCCTCTTTTTTTCATTTTGCTTAAATCTTTCAGAGCATCCTTCTTCTCTGACTCTCCTGCTGAATTTGGGCATCTTAATAACTCCCTTAGAATGGCCTGCAGTGTTACTAATGACCTATTCTCAGCAATCAACACTTCTTGTCCTAACTCATTGAAAGATTTTGGAGAAAGAAATTAAAAACTCCAATTGGTTTTTCAATTTTTTTTTAGATTTTGAGTTTGAAACATTTTCATGCCCACATCATCACATTTCAAATGAAATGAAAATGCTGGGGTAAATAGCTTGCCATGTCCTGTGTGTGCGTGTGTGTGTGTGTGTGTGTGTGTGTGTGTGTGTGTGTGTATGTGTGTGTGTGTATGTAGTAACACCTGAGAAAATTAATAGCTATGAATGACAGAATTGTATAAGGTTAAAGGTGAAGTGATCCTCCAAAAAGAAGTATATGCATTGAAAGCAAGAATTATCTCCTGAGTAAAAAGTAGAGCAGAGGATAGCAGGGGCTGGGAAGAGGGGAGGGGGAAAGATTTGTTAATGGATATAAAAGTAACAGCTAGATAGGAAGAATAAGTTCCAGTGTTCTATAGCAGCAGTCCTCAACCTTTTGGCATTATGGACTGGTTTCGTGGAAGACAGTTTTTCCATGGACCAGGGTCAGGAGGATGCTTTCGGGATGATTGAAGGGGGACATTACATTTATTGTCCACTTTTTTTTTTTTTTTTTTTTTGAGATGGAATCTTGCTCTGTCTCCCAGGCTGAAATGCAGTGGTGTGATCTCGGCTCACTGCAACCCCTGCCTCCCAGGTTCAAGCAATTCTCCTGCCTCAGCCTCCCAAGTAGCTGAGACTACAGGTGTGCACCACCACATCGAGCTAATTTTTGTATTTTCAGTGGAGATGGGGTTTCACCATGTTGGCCAGGCTGGTCTTGAACTCCTGACCTCAAGTGATCCAGCCACCTCAGCCTCCCAAAGTGCTGGGATTACAGGCATGAGCCACCGCGCCCAGCTATGCACTTTATTTCTATTATTCTTACATTGTAATATATAATGAAGTAATGATACAACTCCCCATAATGTTGAATTAATGGGGGCCCTGAGCTTGTTTTTCTGCAACTAGATGGTCTCATCTGGGAGGGATGGGTGACAGTGACAGATCATCAGGCATTAGATTCTCAAAGAGCGTACAACCTAGATCCCTCACATGTGCAGTTTACAATAGGGTTCGTGCTCCTATGAGAATCTAATGCCGCCACTGCTCTGACAGGGGACAGAGCTCAGATGGTGATGCGAGCAAGGGGGAGTGTCTGTAAATACAGATGAAGCTTTGCTTGCCTGTCATGCATCTCCTGCTATGCAGCCCAGTACTGGTCCATGGCCTGGGGAATGGGGACCCCGTTCTATAGGACTGTAGTTAACTATATTATATGGTTTCAGATAGTTAGAAGGAAGATATTGAATGTTTCAAATACAAAGAAATGATAAAAGTTTGAGATGATAGATATGCTAATTACCATAATCTCATCACTATACATTATATGAATCACAACATCACTATGTACCCCATAAATATATACAATTATTATGTATCCATCAAATTTTTAATACATAAAAATTAAAAATCAAAATGTGTCAGATAATAAGAAACGGATTTTCTCTAAAACAGACTGGAGACCTGTCCCACCACCCTTTGATCTTTATTCAACTTTGATAAGATTGAAAACATCTTTGTCTAATTTGATCAAAAAACAGAAATTAGCTTTACAAAAATATAGTTACAGGCCAAGGTCCATGGAAACAATAAAAATAAAGAAATCTCCAGATGCCAAAAATTAGGACACTCAAATTTGGCTTTTGTGTCTTCACAGAATTCTCCAAAACTCTTTTGCCCTAAAAACAGAAGTTTTGACATAGATGCCATCTACAGTGTGATAGATGACGCCAAGCAGTATGTGTACATTGCTGTCATGGACTACCTGCCTATCTCCAGCACAAGCACCAAAAGGTCAGTGAACACCCAATCTCCAGTTAGAACCCAGTCCCCGAGACCAGCCATTACACTGGGCACCACAGGAGAAGCCAGCCTGGAAATGGAGACGCCATCAGATTGCCTTAGGAAGAGCGCATCATTCAACTCTGTTGAGTGTGTATTGGCAATGTGCTCATTATGCATTTTTTCCCAAAGTGGGTCCATTTTAAAGGTTCCGGGTCTCACCCTAAAGAAGTACCTCAGTAGTTTACATTACGGGAATGAGAGGAACTTTTGAAAGAAAGTTAGGTTGCTCTCAACTTGAAAACTGTTTGAAAAGATAAACTATAATATGAAAAAATTATCATTTGAAAACTATTAACAAGGATATACCTGAAAAGGGCATATTGAAACTGAGTAGTCTTGCCAGATTTTCCTTAAAGGAAGCATTGTTGTTTTGTATTCACAGCAGTCCTCATTTCATGCCAAATTCTCATAGTATCTTCTCAATGTAATGGAGAAAGAAACTTTATGTATGTTCTCAGTCAATCCATCCCTCTCTGTGAAAAAGAGAACAGTTTAAAAATGCAGTGCTTTTTCAATAATCATCATTGCTTAAGCATGCAAGCATGGAATAAACTCAGGGACAGAATTTATGACAAACTCTTTGGAAAATCATTACATGCATAAATGCATGGCCATGCTTAGATATTCCCACTTTTGCTTTCTTGCTGGGAATGCAGAGGTGCTTGAATAATTAGTTTGATCCAGGAAATGTTTTCAAAGTGCATATTTTTGGGAGTGAGACCCAAGACCTTTTTAGTTTGAAATATTACAGTTTCAAAACAACCACTTACTGAGGCTAGATGATTAAGTGTGCGTTATATTGCCTGAATATTTTTTTACTCACCAACCCTACATAATACATAATATGTAGCTTCTTTATGCAAATAACCATAGGATTACAAAAAGAGTCTTTCTCCCAGAAAATGATTATTCCTTATAGCAGTTAGTAGAAAAGCACTTTTAGCTGCAAGATGCACAGCATTGAAACATCTTTACTTTAAAATATTGTGCATCTTCACAAAAATTAGCCAGGCATGGTGGCGCACACCTATAATCCCAGCTACTCAGGTGGCTGAGGCAGGAGAATCGCTTGAGCCTAGGAGACGGAGGTTGCAGTGAGCCCAGATGGCACCATTGCACTCCAGCCTGGGCAACAGAGTAAGATTCCAACTAAATACACATACATATATACATATGTGTGTGTGTGTGTATGTGTGTGTATTATATATATGTATGTGTATTTAGATGGAATCTTACACGCACATATATACATATATACACACACATATATATGTATGTATATGTATATATGTGTGTGTATGTGTATATATATATATATATATATACATACACATAGTGCATTCTTTGAACATTCATGAACTTTTTTCCCACACACTTTCACATCTTTTCTATCCCTCCTTTTTATTTTTCTTCCCTTTGTTGTTCACTTGGTTTTAGATGTAGTTTTAGATTTTACCTTCACTTTGAAAACATTTCAAAACATAATAGGGGTTTTGCCTGACTTTCCTGTTATTGAGAAGGAGAATAAGGTCAAGTTCAGGGAGTTATATGTTAGGCTGGCATAATGATTTCTCAGGATTGACAAAACATTTGTTCCATGAAGTGCTAAGAACAAGATTGAGATTCTTCATGGTCAAGGGGTAAAGAATTAGCATAGAGGATCTAAAATATTTTAGAAATCTAAAATCTAGAGAAAACTAAAAGAATATTAAAGAATCAGAGACACCTAAAATTTTGCATTTTGGTTATGAATCTACCATTTCAGCTATTAAATGAAACTTCTTTTATTGTATTTTAACATTTCAAACCTGTAAATGCTTTTAACTTTCTAAATTGAAAGGTCATCAAAAAGACATAAGAAGTAGTCCAAAGATCAAGATTATAATTAAATTCTTCTCAATCAGATAAAGTAATTATTTGTATAAATTCAGACTAGTTATTCATCATTATCTAGTCCTGGAGAAGCTTTTCAGGAGTGAATTCAACATCAATTAATAGGTAAATACTCTCCAATTTCAGCATGTTAATGGAACTAGTTAATATCTTTCAGACTTTTAGTCTATACATTGCCGAACATCCAAATGAAGGAGAAAAAAACCATATACTCCCAAAATAGAAATGATTAACAGCATGTATAAAAACACACACTGTTATTTAGGGAGTGTGAGAAATAACTTCTACTTTTCAAGGTAGTAGGAAGGGAATGGAGTAATGATCTAAATAAATCCTACAGTAAAAATTCAGAAGCCCTATTTCACTTCTTCCTGATTTAGCAATCAAGCTCTCTTTCTTAAGCAAGTCAATTATTTAGGTCTCAGTTTGGAGTTGTTCATTATTTATTTCTTCAGTCACATGAAATATATCTTTCACAAGGAAATTAGTAAATGTGTGAAGGACAAATAAAACTGTAGCCTGATTAGTCTTTGAGGTATTAATACTTTTTATTTATGTATTCATTCAATAAATTTTTTTTTGAGATGGAGTTTTGCTCTTGTCACCCAGGCTGGAGTGCAATGGCATGATCTCGGCTCACTGCAACCTCTGCCTTCCAGGTTCAAGCAATTCTCCTGCCTCAGCCAACATGGTGAAACCCCATCTCTACTAAAAATACAAAAATTAGCCAGGCATGGTGGTACATGCCTGTAGTCCCAGCTACTTGAGAGGCTAAGGCAGGAGAATCACTTGATCCTGGGAGGCAGAGATTGCAGTGAGCAGAGATCGTGCCACTGCACTCCAGCCTAGGTAACAGAGTAAAACTCTGTCTTAAAAAAAAAAAAAAGAAGTAACATGACCAGGTATACTTTAGATGGATCACTCTGGTGGTCATCCAGGAAGCACTTGACTGGAGGCAGAGAAACCAATTTGGAGCACTGAGATGCCTTTTCCTGTAGTCTTCAGCTTCATGGGTATAAAACCAGACAAAGAGAATTGTATCATTGATGAAGGATCCAGATTTTCACCAAGAGCAAGAGGAAGGTTAAGAGGAAAGTATCTTTCAAGTGATCAGAACTGAGATTAGTCTGGGCAGGCAAAGGAGACAGGAGGAGCTGATGGACCCGGCAGATTGAAGGCATCATGAATCTGCAGCTTGCGTGGGATGAAAGAGCAATTAAAAGGGTGGGCCCAGCACAGTGCCTCACACCTGTAATCCAGCACTTCGGGAGTCTGAGCAGGTGGATCACAGGGTCGGGAGTTCAAGACCAACATGGTGAAACCCTGTGTCTACTAAAAATAGAAAAATTAGCCGAGTATGCTGGCGTAGGCCTGTAATCCCACAGGAGGCTGAGGCAGGAGAATCTCTTGAACCTGGGAGGTGGAGGCTGTAGTGAGCCAAGATCATGCCACTGTTCTCCAGTCTGCGGAACAAGCGAGACTCCATCTCAAAAAAAAAAAAAAAAAAAAGAAAAGAAAAGAGAGTGGGAGTGGGGAATCAGAAGGACAGGAGACCTTTAGAGGTGCAATGATCATGGCACTGGCTGACTACGGTGTCAAATAATACATCATTAGTTCAACGTAGTGAATTGGTGCAGAATTAGGGCAAGAGTTTGATGAGTAAACAAAAGTCTACAAATGTCAGCACTGAGGGGAGGGAGAGTGATTTAAGCCTTGGTCCCTAAGACAGGAAAGCTTTTTGTTTTAGCGTGAGAATTGAATGACCATTCTGGAAGTGACCGTGTGTGTTTGGGGCCTGCAGGGGCAGAGTGAGAGGCTGCCCTACATCTTAAGCCAAGTGGCCAGGTCCTGCTAGAAAATGCACGGCAGGACTTCAGGAGAAGCTGTGGCCTTAGGGCAGAGTCAAGTTTGAGTTAAGGCAAAGGCTTAAGAATTCAGGGAAAAGGCTGGGCCTGTCAGAGAAACTTTGCCTGTTGGAAGATTCCAAAGGCCCCGCAGAAAAGGTGGAAGGCAGGGGAGTCATGGGAGGCTTGGTCAGGAGATACCAAGGTAAGGACAGTTGGGAAATGAAAGTGTGGGGAAGCTCAGATGGCTAGAGCAGAAGTTCATTTCAGGGGCCGTCACCAAAGAGAGGTTTTAGTGGCATCTGGGGATTGAGGGGTGCTCAGGGTTCTTAACTGGGATTCTATTGGATCAGTTCTTAGTGGACTGAGGCCCAGGTAGAATCAGAGATGTGGTGAGGGTGGCCTGCGGTGGCAGTCAGTCCGTCCTCACCTCGGCCCCACAGCCCAAGGACCTGCTGGTGGGAGACTTCCTTTTAGGCAGGGGCAGGTCCCAGGAAAGCATCATCCCTCGGTGCCTAAGCAAAGAGGCTTGCATGTTTTTCAACCTCAAATAAAGTAACACTCAGACTAATATCAATGTTCTGTGCTGTCTAGTAAATTTCTTTCCCCAAACTAACTTAGTTTCTTTATTTTTACTCTATGGATATGATTTCTGCAGGACTTACTGGCCAGACTTGGATGGAAAAATAAGAGAAGCATTAGTTTTACGAAGTGTTAGAGTTCGACTCCTTATAAGCTTCTGGAAGGAAACGGATCCCCTTACATTTAACTTTATTTCATCTCTTAAAGCGATTTGCACTGAAATAGCCAACTGCAGTTTGAAAGTTGTAAGTATTATGTTGACTGTGTTATTAAAGAAAAAGTGAATGCCTTCTGCATGTGTGGGACAGCTGCGAGCATACACATACATGTAAACGTCCAGTAAGAACCAGGATGACAATCTTCAAAAAGCAGGTTAAGTAATTTTTCAAAACAATCACATACAGAAAAGCAGAGTAGAGCTTACATTTCCTGATGCCTTCTCTGTCTACCCTCTGCTCACTTTCGGTTGCATCCTTTCCATTTTCTTTTTTTTCTTGAGACAGGGTTTTGCTGTCACCCAGGCTGGAGTGGAGTAGCACAATCTTGGCCGACTGTAGCCTTGACTTCCAGGCTCAAGCAATCCTCCTGCCTCAGCCCCCTCATCAGAGTAGCTGGGACCAAAGGTGCATGCCACCATGCCCAGCTAATTTTGCATTTTTTGTAGCGATGGGGTTTCACCATGTTGCCCAGGCTGGTCTTGAACTCCTGGGATCAAGCAATCTGCCCACCTTGGCCTTCCAAAGTGCTGGGATTGCCAACATGAGCCCCTGTACCCAGCCCTCTCCATTTTCCTTGAATTACCCCATTCACCTACTATTCTTAGCTGTAAGACTGTGACCAACAGAGCATTGGAGCATGCACCAGCACAAACTCCCTTAGCCCAGAGGCCTTATAGTCTGGGTTCCTGTGCTTGCCCCAGGTCCCTTGGGCCACACACTAATCTACCTCTGGAGACACTGAGGGAGGTAAGATTGGGAATTGGGAGTACCTGAAATGGGCTCATTCTCTAGCTCATCTTTGACTACCCTCTTCATCCCCTTAAGGCTTTGTGCGAGCGATTCCTTCTGCCTCCGACACTCCTTCTCCACGTTGACCGGTCTCATAGCCACGAATCCTTTAGGTCTCCACTTTTCCCAACCCCCTGTGCAGTCATTCAACAAACGTGCTCTGAGAAGCTAGCTTGTGGTAGGCTCTCTTCTAGGTAATGAAGCCGCATTCCTTGCAGCAGTTAGGGATCCAGGGTATCAAGGGGTCTGCAATTAACTTTGACACATGGCTTCCAAGATCACCCTGACCCTGAATATCCCAAGGCCAGACAGAAGAGAGAAATTGGAGGACTGTGTGAGAGGCATGTTTGGATTAGGCCTGGAGGTAGCGAACATCCCTTTAGCCTTCATCCCACTGCCTGGATATCTCTCACATGGCCACGCATAATGGCAAGAGAGGCTTATAAACGTGTTCAGAAAGTCAGCTATGTTTCCAGGGTGACAAAGGAACAGGTTTGTGATTCATCATGGTCTGAAGCTCCTGGTACACACAATCCATTTTACTCATCTTCCCTTAAAAAGAACCCTCATTCCTACCTCCCATAAGGGAGAACATGCAAAGTTTCATGCAGTCGCTGCATAGGGTCTTCCAGTGGTGTGCATTTCTGGACATCAAACCTGAAAGTGGTACGTTATATATAGTTCGTCAATGTAAAAACTGAAACAAAACAGTAACAACTCCCCCACACGCACCAAAAAATACTCAGAAACTGTGGCCACCTGGGACGTCGATTACCACCTGCAGAGGCCTGTCCTGCAGACCTTAAGGACGGACGAATGAATGCACTCTCACACCTAGTACGGTGGTTTTCAGTGGGGTAGGGATGGCTGTCTGCTTTCAGAGGGCGCTTGCAGCTCACTGACTACGACTCCTTGTACTTCCTCACATTTATTCAGTGCAGATTTAATAACAGAGGTTCTAAGTCAACAAGCTTGTGGATAATTAACATGGTTAAAAAAGAGTGGTTTTACGAATAATAAAAGCTTTTGGTTCTGGGGCCCAGAGTAAACACCATTGATGGGTAATTCCTCTTGGACCTCTTTTTGAGAGGACCCATCCAGCATGAAGTTAACATGAGTCAACAGAGTAGAGACAAAAGGACGTGTGGTAAACAGACTTAACTGGGGAAGCTTTTGTCGTCCCTGTCTTTTGCCCTACGCCTTAAAATTCTAATGTAATGAACTGGCTGCCCTCAGCCTGTTCCATTAAAACCTTTCGGCCTTCCAAAAAGTTTGAGGCTATAATCTTCTAACTTTCCCTAATATTTCCCTAATATTTTGCCAGCCACCTCGAGTGAATCTCAGCAAAAACCAGGTGAAGGTTACCTCCCTCCCTGAGTACAGAAACAGTATAAGCACAAGAAAAACCACCATTAGAAAGGAAAGGTACGGAGGCCCGTGGCAGTCGCTGGTCCACGGCAATTATAAAACCCTTCAGGGCAGGTTTTGCAAAGACCTTATACTCCTGCTGGCTCAAGCCAAGGACCCATGGGTGTTTTAAGGCATGAACAGTTAAAGGAATTTGGGGTCCTAGCATGAGCTGGTTGGTTTCTTGGGCAATGCAAGTTTCTCAGAAATGTAACAGGTTCTAATGTACTTGCTTCTGGTTATTTCCATGTATCCATAGCCATGTCCAAAGTTTCCTGTTGTACATAATTCCCTAACTTGATGCTTTCTTGTTCATGTACTTTTCTCTCTCTTTAATGATAGGGTCCATTCAAGGCCATCAGACACAGGTGGGAAGATTATACCTATTACATACTTTTTTTGTTGTTTTTTTTGAGATGGAATCTTCCTCTGTCGCCCAGGCTGGAGTGCAGTGCTATGATCTCGCCTCACTGCAACCTCCGCCTCCTGGATTTAAGCGATTCTCCTGCCTCAGCCTCCTGAATAGCTGGGATTACAGGCGCCAGCCACCACGACTGGCTAATTTTTGTATTTTGGTAGAGATGGGGTTTCACCATGTTGGCCAGGCTGGTCTGGAACTCCTGACCTCAGGTGATCCAGCCACCTCAGCCTCCCAAAGTGCTGGGGTTACAGGCATGAGCCACCGTACCCAGCCACACCTCTTATAATTACACCAATTATTTTGTCTTTTCTACAGGGTTCAGTCTTAACTGGCCACTTAAAGCATTTTTCAAACTTACTTCCTATTATTGGGTTCTAGGTAAAATCAGCGTTTTCAACCCTGTGAATGACCAAATTTCTGGTCTATCTGTTCTCTATCATTTCCACTTCTGAACTAGCCATTCCTTCCTGAGCCTATTTTTCTCCTCTAATAAGCTTTTTAAAAGCACAACTATTGGCTGAGCACAATGGCTCAGGCCTGTAATCCCAGCACTTTGGGAAGCCAAGGCAGGTGGATAACTTGAGGCCAGGAGTTTGAGACCGAAACTCCTGATGAATTCCGTCTCTACTAAAAATACCAAAATTAGCTGGGTGTGGTAGAACACGCCTGAAATCCCAGCTACCTGGGAGGCTGAGGCACAGGCATTATTACTTGAGCCTGGGAGGCAGAGGTTGCAGTGAGCCGAGATCGTGCCACTGCACTTTAGCCTGGGTAGAGACCAAGACCCTGTCTCAAAAAAAAAAAAAGCACAAATAACAACCAACACACACTACAAACAATTCATTCCCCAGTCCCCATAGCTAAAGCCCTGTAAGCCAAAGGTTCCGTGGTACTTGGTATTCCTTCCCAGTAAATGCCAGTTATGTTTTTACCAAATAGGTTGTCTCTGTATAACATGGGTTGTCATCTTTCCATCCTACAATACCAGTTTACTTGCTGCGTGCTGCCCACTGAGTAAGCCAATGCTACATCGTTTAAGTTTTTGTTGTTTTGCTGTGTGGCAGCAACCACATATATATTATGTAATATTATATATATGGTTGTGATATATAATGTAATAAATGAAGGAATGTGTTGTGTTCATGAATATTCATGAGTATATACAGTTATCCAAGCACTGAATTAAATGCTTTATATATATTATGTAAGTCACAGCCACACAGCCAGACATGTGGTTTATGCCTGCAATCACAGTGCTTTGGGAGTCTGAGGTAGGAGGTTCACTTGAGGCCACAAGTTCAAGACCCTGCCTGGGCAACATAGGGAGACCCCATCTCTACAAAAAAAGTAAAAAAGAAAAAAAGAAAAGAAAAAAACTTAAAAAATAATAATATTTTGTGAACCAGGTACTTTCCCTATTTTATAGACATGGGAACTGAAGCTTAGAGAGAGATTAAATAACCTCTCTCAAGAACACTAGTGAGTAGTGGGGCAAGGCTGAAACACAAGTCTTTTGAACTCTAGAAACTGGGCTCTTAAACATGGCCTCTGCACGTAGAACAGATCATTGTGGTTCAGAGTCCTTTTTAATCCTTCTTATCTATGTTCAAAAACATCATATACATTGAGGTGCAGTGGCTCACGCCTGTAACCCCAACACTTTTGGAGATCAAGACAAGAGGATCACTTGAGGCCAAGAGTTCAAGACCAGCCTGGACAACATAGCAAGACCCTATTTCCACAAAAAAAAAAAAAAAAAAAGCAAAACCTAGCCAGGTGTGGTGGTGCACACCTGTAGTCCCAGGGGGACTCTGGTCTCAGAAGGCAGAGGCAAGAGGACCCCTTTAGCCTAGGAGTTCAAGGCTGCAGTGACCTATGATTGTCACTGCACTCTAGTCTGGGGACAGAGCAAGAATCTGTCTCAAAGCAAAAACAAAAACATCATATACTGCATCTGCTCAAAGATATGAGAAGCTACACATCCAAATTATATCCCTGAGGACTGAAAAAAGTCAGATAAAATGTTTGTAACTCTTGTGCCATTAAGATATTTTAAATTTTATTTTTCATGGAATTATTAACAATTTAAATACATAAAAATTTGGAATTTACTGTAAGTTTCCTAAAAAATAATGCTTCTCACCTGTGTTTTCATCTTTTTTTTTTTTTTTTTTTTTTGAGACGGAGTTTCACTCTTGTTACCCAGGCTGGAGTGCAATGGCGCGATCTCGGCTCACTGCAACCTCCGCCTCCTGGGATCAGGCAATTCTCCTGCCTCAGCCTCCTGAGTAGCTGGGATTACAGGCACGCACCACCATGCCCAGCTGATTTTTTGTATTTTTAGTAGAGACGGGGTTTCACTATGTTGACCAGGATGGTCTCGATCTCTTGACCTCGTGATCCACCCGCCTCAACCTCCCAAAGTGCTGGGATTACAGGCTTGAGCCACCGCGCCCGGCCATGTGTTTTCATCTTAATCTCCCTAATAGTCTGGTAGCAATGATGGGTAATAGAAATTCTGATCTTGGTTTAACTAGCTTTTGTAAACTGAGGAAATCATGCACATACCTGTAAAGTCACAAATCAGTATAAGTATTGGAAATGAAAACATGGGCCAGGTGCAGTGGCTCACAGCTGTAATACCAGCACTTTGGGAGGCTGAGGCAGGTGGATCACCTTAGGTCAGGAGTTCGAGACCAGCCTGACCAACATGGAAAAACCGTCTCTACTAAAAATGCAAAAAGTTAGCCTGATGTGGTGGCACATGCCTGTAATCCCAGCTACTTGGGAGGCTGAAGCAGGAGATTCTCTTGAACCTGGGAGGCAGAGGTTGTGGTAATCCAAGATTGCACCATTGCACTTTAGCCTGGGCAACAAGAGTGAAACTCCACCTCAAAAAAAAAAAAAAAAAAAAAAATGACCGATTACTACCACAGATCTGTTTTCCAGAAATACCTGAGAGTTGGATCAGGTATTTGGGTTTGGAATAAGATGCCCAGGAGCAGAGGAGAAGCAGGTACAGTCCCAGGAGGTCAGGCAGAGACACAAGAGAATAGAGTCTAATTGTGTTCAACACCTTTTCACAGACAAGAAAACTCTTGGGATTGATTCAGCTCACGGACAGCATTTTCCAGATAATTATAATGGCATACGGGGCTCCAAAAAAAGGGAAATGAGGAAAAGGACAGGTGTCCAATTCACCAGTGGCTCACATGATGCTTGGTAGAGTTTTCAAAACATACGTGTTGAATGAATGCATGCATAACAAATGAAGTCAAAGAAGGGAGTCAGGGCCAGGCACGGTGGCTCATGCTGGTAATCCCAGCACTTTGAGGGGTTGAGGCAGGCGGATCACGAGGTCAGGAGTTCAAGACCAGCCTGGCCAACATGGTGAAACCCCATCTCTATTTAAAAATACACAAATTAGCCAGGCGTGATGGTGCAGGCTTGTAATCCCAGCTACTTAGGAGGCTGTGGCGGGAGAATTCTTGAACTGAGACCTGGGAGGCAGAAGTTGCAGTGAGTCAGGATCACGCCACTGCACTCCAGCCTGGGGTACAGAGTGAGACTCCATCTCAAAGATAAAAATAGAAGGGAGCTAATAAAGGCAGAGTAATAAGAAAGATCTGTAAGCCAGTGGGGGGACAGCACAGAGCACAGGACAGTGCCTGAGTCCAAGCTGTATTAGCCATTTTCTGCAGGCATGTGCTGGGAAAGGGTGACTGCCCATGAAGAGGCTGCCCACTGAAGTCACACACTCTGGAGGTCAGCACACTCACACGTAGAAGAGCCCCTGTTACTTGCAAGGCCTAGCAGGAGCAGAGAGGAAAGTCTAGGGTTTTTGGTATACCATATGGTGCATTTGCTCCAATCTCCTTTTCCAGATTCCCCTCTGGCCGAGTCACGGGTTCATGCCCGTGACTGTTCATGCCTGTTTCTTGACCCCCACAGCACACCTGCCACTAGGGCACCTGTAGTGGAAACCTCTAGGTCATGAAATATTAACTGCTGTCATTTAAGAATTGCAAAAAATTACAAGGAAAGTAGAATCCATCATTGCAACCTTTACAGGACTTAACCAGCTTCATCTTTTTGACATTTTTGAAGGAAGATGGTCACTTTTTTTAGTAAACCAAACATTAATAGTTTACGCATAGCCATTTTATAAAACTGAAGCCATACCTTTCTAAGCATCAGTACAAGCCTAGATGGGCAAGCAGCTTATGGTCCCAAAGTCTAGAACACAGAGAGGTGATAAACTCTTCCAAGAAAAGTGAGCATTGGAATCTGCATAGGGTGTGTCTTCAGGAGCCTGGGAACTAGGTGGGGACTCTCTGTTCTTAAAGGAGTGGGCACGCCCACCTCCAACCACCTCCTACCCTGATGTGGGTTTATCTCCCTGAGGGCTTATGGAAGGAGAAGAGACTGTGACACACAAAATTGTCCCAGTCATCTGATTTTTTAGAATTTTTTTACAAATTAATAAATTACTTTGAAATGTCTTTGCTGTCACCCACAGTGTATTAGGTGTCTAATACTACCAGTGCATAAAATCTGATTTCTGCTGTCATTTCAGTCTTCCAGAGAAAGCTGTTTCCCCTCTTCAGGGCCATCTTTGACTTTCTAGAACAAATGGGTTTTTACTAAAACCTCAAGCTGTGACTCTATCCTTGACTTAACTCAAGATGCATATTTTATTCTTTTTGAAATCCATGTTGATTCTACAATAATATCTTTCCTAAAAGGAAGCATTCACATGTGTGGCCATGTGTTGTGATTGAATGTCCAAGCTAAGTAACTTCTGGCTATGATTGATGGTGATGTCCTCAATATTCATGTGACTTCATGAATATATAACTGTGACTTCAGAACACTCACAGGTTATTAAGTCAGTTTGAAGAGTCCAGAAACCAATGTAGATTTTGTAGAAGACAGGTGCTGAGGACACTGGGTAAACCAGGTGTCATTGTCTGTAACCGTGGTGATATGGCCCTGGGAGACACAGCATGTTTATCTGTGTTGTGGAGTAGACAGTTTTTAGGTAGATTTTGATCTCTGTACTGTGAACCTCAAGGATTTTTACAAAAAATCAGAACAGAACTTTTGAGGCTAGAAGGGATCTTAGTGATCGTCGATTTTATCACACCTCTACCACGCTGGGGAGGGGGAAGTCCAGCTGTCATTATTTCCCCAAACCAAATGTGAGCGCTTACAGTTTTACAACTGTAAATGACATCTCCTTTTCTAGGCATCATGCCATTTTCCTCTCTGCCTCTTCTTTCCTTTAAATACACATGATTCTATAGCTGTAAGACATTCCAAAAGGTTCCACAGTTCTGAAAATGCTCAGCATTTTCCAGTGTAGGGGATACCCGAGGTTTTCACCTTAGACTAACGTCTTCCAGTGAGCTCAGTCATGCAGTTCCATGAGCTTAGCCACAGTTTAAGCCTCGTCTGAGAATTTAGCAAATCAGCAGACCCCTGAGGCACAGCCTGGCTGTGCCTGCAGTCATCCCTCTTCTCTTAGCTGCCCCATTTCTGGCCTTAGGTGAACTGGAATGTTGCCTTTTGGGTCAATAAATGTTGAAATTCAGAACTCAGGGTTTGAAGTTGTGATTTTTTTATTTTTGATTGGCCTATCAAAAGAGCTCCTAGACTTAGGTGTTTAGATGGAAAAGTATTTGTTCCTGCGGCAGAATCTCTTTTGACCTTTGCAAATCCCCAGTTTAATCAGCTAGTCATCGACATAATGCATGCAACATGTGAGAATACTCATTCAGTTCATTGGCATGCTTGACAGGGAGCACCCTGAGGCATGCTTCAAATGCCAGCACACCCTGCTGAATAAGACAATGAGAATTAAACAAGCTTCTGGCCCTCATCCTGCTGAAAAAGGAAATGAATTTTGTGTTCATTTTGTAGCTTAAAAGTGTTAATTATAGACCTAGTTGAGCATGCTAATTTTCTCTTGTTGCCTATATAGATTTGAGAACAAAAATAGCCTCATCCATATGAGGTAATAAGATTATGGCTTTAGTAACAATGTGAGGTCTATTGTTGATCTGTGGATAATACATTCTTTTGTGCTCTTGGACAAGATCAGAAATGTTCCTGATTTACCTGCTTTTTTTGTTTCTCTTTTGTCTTACAGAAATTTTTTGATCTGGAAAGAGAAAATGCTTGTGCCACAAAAGAACAAAAGAACCACACCTTTCCTAGGTTAAATCGCAACAAGTACATGGTGACAGATGGAGCAGCTTATATTGGTAGGTGTCAGGGCTGTGAGGCTCCTTAGGACAGGTCACCCAGGCAGTGGCAGTCCAGCTGCGCTCCGCGGTACCCCCTGTCAAGGAAGCAAGGCCTTGGGAACCACTGCTGGTGAATGGGGGGACCTGGAGGTCAGGAAGCGGGACAGTGAGGACAGGGAGCTCATCATTCGAATATCTCTTCCATGGCCTGATTTGTGTACTAGGAGATACATAAGATGCCTTTCCATAAATGTTTTGTAGAAATTTTCTGGCCCATTTGCCACATTGTACAGGCAAGGGTGGGAATGGCTCATCAAAAATGTGTCCCGTACTGCAGCAAGCACAGTGTCATTCCCCTGCCCACAGCACCACAAGACAGCCTGACCTGAGTGGTGGGCAGGCAGACAGTGGAGTGGGTCAGTGCCCAGCCCGTTGTCCCATCCCTGCCATCTCCCAAATGTCTGGCTTTGTACAATTTACTTGAGCTCTTCAAACCTCAGTTTTCTCATCTGTAAGATGGGGCTAATAATAGTAACTACTGCCGGGGGGCGGTGGTGCGTGCCTGTAGTCCCAGCTACTCGGGAGGCTGAGGTAGGAGGATCGCTTGAGCCCAGGAGTTCTGGGCTGCAGTGTGCTATGCCGATCGGGTATCTGCACCAAGTTCAGCATCAATACGGTGACCTCCTGGGAGCGGGAGACCAGCAGGTTGCCTAAGAAGGGGTGAATCGGCCCAGGTCGGAAATGGAGCAGGTCAAAACTCCTGTGCTCATCAGTGGTGTAATCAAGCTTGTGAATAGCCACTGCACTCCAGCCTGGGCAACAAGAGCAAAACTCTGGCTCAAAAAAAAAAAAAAAAAAAAAAAAAAAATCATTCAAAGCTACTCTATCATGAAGCCACTGAGAGTACCATTTGCCATTGTGCTCTTTCTTGAGGGGGACAGATAATCGGTTGGGATGAGGGGAGAGAGAGAAAGCAAAAGGGAGCAGGTCCCTCTCTGTGCTGATATTTGGTTTAGGGACCTGGTGTTCTTAGGCTCTGAGGAATAAACTTGAGTAAAATGAGAGATGAGAAACCACCTTCTGATATTCCCTGGGATGCCAAATGGAAAAGGGAATTGACACATTTGAGGGTTCCAGCAAACAGAGCAGGGATCAAAAGATGGAAGCTACAAAGGAACAGAGACTGGCTCTCTCCATAGATGTGCTTTCTTCCAGCAGCTTCTCCCACAGATGGCTGCAGGCCCTTGGGCCAGGGATGCCAAGGAGATGGATGATCTCAGCTTCTTAGTGATTTCTGCAGCGATACCTGAGTTGCTGCAGAGGACATGGAAGATCAATCTCTATACCTAAAACCTGTCAGTTCCCTTTATGGAATCAGCTCTTATCCAAAGAGGAGAACAAAACTGGGAGCTTAGATCAGATCTGGCTTGGTGGTAATTTCAAAAACAATTTTGTCCGTCTTGACATGGCTAGATATTTTTTAGTGAGAATAATTCCGGTTTATCATAGAGTCTGGCAGAACTGGGTGCACCATTGATTAGCCACTGATTCGGCAAATTTATTCACCTCTTTGAGCCTCCCAGTCCTCAGCTGTGAAGTGGAAGTAAGTCCCACCAACCATATAGATAATATATATAAATACCAAGTAGAAGCTGGTTCCGGTGGCTTGCACCTGTAGTCACAGCTACTTAGGAGGCTGAGGTAGGAGGATTGCTTGAGCCCAAGAGTTCAAGGCTGCAATGAACTATGATCAGGCCCCTGCACTCTAGCCTGGGCAAGAGAGAGATTCTGCCTCTAAAAATAAATAAATCAGGCCTGGCGCAGTGGCTCACTCCTGTAATCCCAGTGCTTTGGGAGGCTGAGGCGGGTGGATCACTTGAGGTCAGGAGTTTGAGACCAGCCTGGCCAACGTGATGAAACCCCATTTCTACTAAAAATACAAAAAAGTAGTAGGGTGTGGTGGTGGGCACCTGTAACCCCAGCTACTCAGGAGGCTGAGGCAGGAGAATTGCTTGAACCTGGGAGGCGGAGGTTGCAGCGAGCCGAGCGGCAGGGCAAGATTGTCTCAAGAAAGAAAGAAAAAGAAAGTGGGAGGGAGGGAGGGAGGGAAGAAGGAACGAAGGGAGAGAAAAGAAGGAAGGAAAACTACTCAGTTATAGAGTAGGGCGTTCCCAGAAAGCAAGTGGAGGAATGTGGTGTGTTTGTTTTTCTCGTGTAGGGGTCTTATCTATGTAAAAGCTAAGCTAGGCTGTGTCTATGTGTGAGTGAGCTGACAGCATGAGCCAATTTATTATTCTGTTGGTTTGAAGGAAACATTCTTGTGTGAAATGACATTCCAGCGTGTACGTACATTGAAGCATAACTAGAACTACCTTGAAAGCAGGTACTGTTATGGGTATTGGGACATCTGCTGCAGGAGAGTAGCCTTTGGGATATCTTTAGGCTGCTTTCTCAGTTGTAAACATCTTATGACCATGGTTGTGACTGGCAAGGAATATGCCTTGTTAGTCTCAAGATGGAGCTGAAATGGCATTACTCTGGCTCTCCTAGGCGACTGCTTCCCCTACACCTTGAAGATGGACCGCACGGGAGTGGCATAGACATTATTAGTCTTTTCTGGGGCAGATCCCAGACTTACTCCTTTAAATGAGCTGAATCGTGTCCCTCCAAAATTCATATTTGAAGTCCTAGCTCCCAGTACCTCAGAATGTAACTCCATTTAGAGACAGGATCTTTAGAGAAATAACCAAGTTAAAATGAGGTCATTAGTGTGGCCCCTAATCTAATATGGCCAATGTCCTTGTAAAAAGGGGAAATTTGGACACAGACATGCATAGAAGAAGACAACATGAGGAGATGCAGAAAATGTCATGGAGGGGCGGGGCACGGTGGCTTACCCCTGGAATCCCAGCATGTTGGGAGGCTGAGGTGGGAGGATCGCTTGAACCCAGGAGTTCGAGAGCAGCCTAAGCAACATAGCAAGACCCCATCTCTATTTAAAACTGTTAAAAAAAAAAAGGGGGGGGGGGGCCTGGGCACTGTGGCTCACACCTGCAATCCCAGCACTTTGGGAGGCCAAGACAGGTGGATCACAAGGTCAAGAAATCAAGACCATTCTGGCCAACATGGTCAAACCCTGCATCTACTAAAAATACAAAAAATTAGCCGGGTGTGGTGGCACACCTGTAATCCCAGCTACTCGGGAGGCTGTGACAGGAGAATCGCTTGAACCCAGGAGGTGGAGGTTGCAGTGAGCCGAGATCGCGCCACTGCACTCCAGCCTGGCGAGAGAACAAGACTCTGTCTCAAAAATAAAATAAAATAAAATAAATTTTAAAATGAGAAGAACCAACGAAGTAAAGAAAGAAAGAAAAAGAAAATAGAAAATGTCACAGAGAAAATGCCCATCTACAAGCCAAGGAGAAAGGCCTGGAGCGGATCCCTTCCTCGCGGTCCTCAGAAGGCATCAACATCAACCCTCCCAACACCTGGGCTTTGTCTCCAGAACTGTGAGACAATACATTTCTGTAGTTCCAGCCACCCAATTTGTGGGACTTTGCTATGGCAGCTGAAAAAACATGAATGCACCACCTAACGCAGGGCAGTCATACTCAGCCTGTTCTCACAGCACCTGCCCCGCTTCCTGGGCCAAGGGGCCGGATCCTGGGTCTGGGAAATGATTTACAGCCCAATCAAGGAGTATTTGTTAGGAACTGAGTTTCTTTCTCTAGCTTTCACTTTTTCTTTGATGTGAAAGCTTCAGGGCCTTATAATTAGAATCCCTCATTTGTTCTCATGGATTAGATGTTGTCTTTTTGAGAAGGTAGTAATTACTCACAGGATTTTTAAATGTATCCCTATGTTTTAAATGTTGCTGTATTTAGCATGTCAATAAGAAATAACATTTACGAGAAAGAACAGCAGATTCCTTGTTTTGAGTTTCCGCTGGAGCAAAGCTGAAGAAAATGCCAAAATAATATGTAAATATTAATATGCCATATGTAAGGCTTCTTGGAATTTTTTTTTCGGAGCTGTCAACACAATTCACCCTCTCCGTTGTTATTCCTGGGTGTTGATGGTTTTTAATAGACTCCACTCTGAATTTCATTATATTGGGTATATTCCCAGTGGACTCTAACTCTTCAACGTTATTTCTTTGTTTGCAGGAAATTTTGACTGGGTAGGGAATGATTTCACCCAGAATGCTGGCACGGGCCTTGTTATCAACCAGGCAGATGTGAGGAACAACAGAAGCATCATTAAGCAACTTAAAGACGTGTTTGAAAGGGATTGGTATTCACCATACGCCAAAACCTTACAGCCAACCAAGCAGCCGAACTGCTCCAGCCTGCTCAAACTCAAAGCTCCCTCCAACAAAACTGCCACAGACAATGCAGGAGGGAAGGAGGCCTGGAGCGTATAACGGGAAGGAACAAACTGATGGGGCAGGTCGGCATTTCTTATTTATACATAAAGGACTTGAGGAGAGAAAACACTTTAATATGTCTTTTTTTTTTAGGGAAAAAGCACACTTATAAAAATATTCTCTGAATGACACACAATACCTATCTAACACTGTCTTAGCGTCGTGTACACTAAAATTAAGACTTTTGTATGTATTACCTCTGACAGAGAATGTCATTCTGGCGTAGAAGTTAGTTTTTACGTTTGCATACCAATTTTAAGACTTTGATTCCTGTTCCTTTCTAGTTTTAGAACTTTTTCTGCTGACCCACCTGGTCAGTTGCTAGGAAGCTTAGCATGAGGTGAGCTCTTTAACACCATTCTGAGAACTGCTGATTTAGAGAGGAAGATGAGGATTTTGCCTTGGGGAAGAGATTGATAAAACCAAGTGTTTATCCTTGCAAATCATCTCCAAGACCTATGCAGTCAGCTAAGCACGAACAGCTTATATCTCATGCCAGCCTTCAACGCCCTTGAAAAAGATCCTTTTCGGCCTTCCTTTCTTCTTACACCATAGGTTGTATTTGATATCATTTTCTCTTCCCACAAAATGTTCCTATTATACAGCATTTCTGTATTCACCTCAACATTACTTCTAACTCTGATAATATCTTTTGAAAACATACGAATTTCTCAGAACGGACACCAAGTGGAGATAGCAGTCTTTCATTTTCACCTTTCAACCGCATCTCTTTTTCCCTACCCAATTGGTATTTTAAAAGAACCACAGTCAGCAATATGTATCCTTTCTCTCGAGCTCAGAAAAATTATGTAGCCACCTGCTAATATCCAGCAAGTTATCAAGTCTGCATTTTGAGAATAAAGTAGTTTTTCACATTCTTGTTTAGTTTATGGTATTATAAAGGAATGATCTCTATGCGCCAGTGGATTTTAATTTCCTTAGAATCATTATGCTGTTGAGAGTATGCCAGCAAACATTTATAGAGCTATTTAATATACCTGCTATTTAATATACCAAATGCTTTTCAGAGAAATGCAATTTAAATAACTGTGCTTAACATATTTTACTAAGAAACAGAAATATTGAATTATTGTTCTATAACATAATTGTGTGTTGTTGTTTTCTATCTGTACAATATATACCCCTGTATTCATGGAAACCACTGCTACATGAGGGAGAGGCATGGCCTCTTCAGAGCCCAGGGCAGGTGGCTGGAAGGTCCAGTTCCAATGTCGTTCCTGACTCTGTGACTCAAAGCAGAGTTCCTCAGTTCTTGGCCTTGGGCTTCTCTTGGTAACGTAGACGGCAGTCCTCACCTACCTCGCAAGGATGTTGTCATGGTAGGAAATATTTATAACTCATTTTGAAATCAAAAGAACCTATATAAATGCTAAGCATTATAATGTATAATCTTTTTCTTGAAATAATCTTTGTCCTATCTTGATAGAATCAATACCAGGTCCTCCCCGAGAATCTGCAAAGGAAATCAGATCCACAGTTTCCAGTGGCAAATGTGGATGAAAAGAACACAGCACCACAAAGACCCTGGTGGAGATCTGGATTGTTGACATTTCAGTGGGACATCATGTTGGGTCACTTTGGCATGAATAACATTAACACAAAACTAGACATATTGCTAGGGACTGTTCTTCAGGACCAGAATACACGCGTGTTTTCAGAGCAAGGAAAATCTCAACTATTCTTTTTTGTTTCTAGAGATCTGATTTCTAATTTTCTTTTTTTTTTTTTTTTAAGACAGTGTCTTGCTCTGTCCCCAGGCTGGAGTGCAGTGGCACAATCTCGGCATACTGCAACCTCCACCTCCCAGGTTCAAGCGATTCTCCTGCCTCAGCCTCCCGAGTAGCTGGGATTACAGGCACCCACCACCATGCTTGGCTAATTTTTATATTTTTAGTAGAGACAGGGTTTCACTGTGCTGACTAGGATGGTCTCGATCTCCTGACCTTGTGATCCACCTGCTTTAGCCTCCCAAAGTGCTGGGATTACAAGCATGAGCCACCACATCTGGGGAGACTTGATTTCTAAATGCCACGAAAGTGATGGAGGAGCCTGTGAATCTTATCCAATGGATTTTCTTTTTTTTTTTTTTTTTGAGACGGAGTTTCACTCTTGTTACCCAGGCTGGAGTGCAATGGCGCAATCTCGGCTCACCACAACATCCGCCTCCTGGGTTCAGGCAATTCTCCTGCCTCAGCCTCCTGAGTAGCTGGGATTACAGGCACGCGCCACCATGCCCAGCTAATTTTTTGTAGTTTTGGTAGAGACGGGGTTTCACCGTGTTGACCAGGATGGTCTCGATCTCTTGACCTCATGATCCACCCGCCTCGGCCTCCCAAAGTGCTGGGATTACAGGCTTGAGCCACCGCGCCCGGCCTGGATTTTCTTAATATAGAATGGCTAATGTGGGTTATCCAGTGATCACATAGTTTCCCTTCTTGTTATTTGCAGGTATTGCTTCCCTAGATAGTTAACCAGTTGGTCAAGAGAGCTGGAAGGAAGCTGTAGTTTTAAGGGTAGCATGTTTTTATGACTAATTGGGAGGTTCTCACTGAAATTCCTCACCAACAATAGCCAGCCCATAAGACTAAATATTTACCAAGACACAATCCATATTTGAGTCGGGAGTTATCCTGCTAGCCATCCTCATTAAGTAAACATTGCTTTGGTGACAATTTTAAAAAGAAAGCAGACTGGGTGCAATGGCTCATGCCTGTAAATCAGCACTTTGGGAGGCCAAGGCAGGAGGATTGCTTGAGGCCAGGAGTTTGAGACCAGCCTGGGTAGCATGGCAAGACCCTGCCTCTAAAAAAATATCAAGCCAAGAAGGAAGCAGAGTAGGGGTGGAAACAAACAAACCTACCAAGTTCACGCTCAGACAAACAGAAGCAACCTGGGTTGGTTTTAAAAAGGTTATCTAAAGGGAGAAAAGAAAAAAAAAAAACTAAAACTTCCTTGTTAGTTCTCAAGTCGTCTCCTGGAGTATTCATCCACAGCCATGGGACACTCATAGGCTTGGTGTCATGGGGCTCCTTCACTGTCACTATCTGTATGTGCTAAGAGAAAGGAATGTCATCCTTTACGGAATGACCATCATTGCCCATTTCCTTTTGAGGCCTGGCAAAATGGTACCACCAGGAGCTGTGTCCCAGGCTTTTCTGCCAAGCAGCAGCAACAAGATGCCTCCCAGACACAGTGAGTCCTTTATTGGGGGGGTCTGGACAGCGGTGTTGACTCCATGAGGCCACACTGTCCTTTTGTGGCAGCCAGGAAAGTGACCCCCATACCAAGAGTGTCAGAAACGGGTTCATGTCTCCCAAGAGAACATTTCATTCTGCAGAACTTTCTCTTTCATTTGGATGCTTGATCTACCCCTCTAGAGATGGCTTTTCTTCCTTTTAAACCTTATGTCTGTGCTAAACAAACTATCCACTTCCATTCCTCCCACCCCCAAGTATTCCAGGAATTACTTTTCAGGAAGAAAAGAATGCAAAACAAAACAAAAAACACTTTAATTTGACGCTATCTGGTGGCTGTCCATGCCAGAAATTACAAGGAGCAGGGTGACTACTCCCCATAAACATTCCTGGATTTATTCCCCAAGAGGCAAAAAGGAAAACAAACACAATTTGAGACTATGTTTTGGATTTTTGTGCCACTAACACTGACTTAGTGCCTTATTTATCCTGAAGCACTGATTTTAAAGAATGATTTATCCTATGGGAATACGTCTGCCTCCTGTGGAATTCAAGATGACCTTCCGATGGGCCTACCAGTTGAAAACTTCTATTTGAGCATTGACAGTGTTTATGCTGCCTGTTCTCTTCCCAATCCCCATCACCTTTATCCCCCCCAAATCAAATCGTTGCACACACCATCAGAGATCAATACTGTAGACTTCCACTGCTTTGTCACTGGCCTGTAGCCTATCAAATAATTGAATCACAGCTTATCCAACCATTGGAGAGGAAGTGGGATGCTGTGAGATTACATCCACACTCTGTAAACAACAAGCTTTAGGTACCCGAACCTGATAGAAACAAGGAATGCTGAAAATGTCCCCACTGACATAAATGAATCCTGTAAAGAGAATGCTTCATAGACTTCCTAGGTCCTGTGGCGTAGAGACTGAAAACTAGTGTCTTTAACAAGTCAAAGCAGACGAAGAAATAAAAGGTCTGCCGACACGCTTTTCATCTGTGTGACTCTGGGTACCCCTTTTCCCATTCAAGCTCTGTCTGTGCTGTTGTTTGTCTCATGTCTGATTTAGTTCTTATTGAGAGGGGTCTGATCACATTTTTGGTTGATCTCACCCTTTGAAAAATGTGAGGTTTTTTTTTTTTTTTTTTTTTTTTTTTGGAAATACAGTTACTGGTTTGTTACAAGTGCCTCGATGAACCTGGGATTGACAGAAGCTCATTTTCCACAAGCCTGTGGCTACACTCAGTGACTCTGATTCATTCTGTTTGTTTTTGGAAACTTTTATTGAACTAAATTCTGGGGCGGGGGAGGGAAGAACATAAGAAGAATTTCTTGATAAGATCAGATCCAGGTCCATCTGTCTCAGGAATTCTGTCCAACAATTCACTTTTTTTAATTTCATATGTATGACCACTGGTGTGTGTTTCTGTGTCCAAAATCCCTTCCATTATTTTTAACTCTAGGAATGTAAAAGGCTGTTATTACTTGCATATAACAGTCATCTCCTATAATGAAAGATATTTTGTTATTGGTTATTCAAACTAAGTCCTTACAAACAGCCCCATATATTGTGGGCAAATGTTTCATTCTTTTATTTTTCTGTACTTATTCCCAATGAACTGGTGTGCTTTATTATACACCTTTTAAAGGAGAAATTAATACAACTTCCATTTGACCCAACGTAAATTAGATAAACTTTTTGCAACATTTTCCCATTTGTTATGAATTAGCCTCTTTCCTTGTCCTTTTATATATTGTTAATAAAATATCTGCTTACCATTTTCACCTTATTGACTTAAATTAGAGGAGGTTTTTTAATAGCCCTGACATCAACCCCAGTTCACAGCCTATCTATCTTTCTCATTTGAGAGAATTTCCATCTTTGGCTGAATTATGAAGAAGATACTGCTTTTTACAGTGACTTGATGGGTATTCTTCAGAAGTTTCTTGAAACTGTAGAAATGAAATTTTCTTATTTTTGACCCATTAGCAGCCTTGTACTTACAGAGTTCTAAAACTTCACTGGCCGTTTATGCTTCTTTTGGCAATCTGACCAGAAAAAAGTGATATTTAATAGGCTATTACACATTTTATTTTGCTGTGTTCAACCGCTAAACTTCTGATTCTGTTACAAAAGATATCCTGAATTTTTAATGTTTATGTAAATAGGATAAACTTGTACTGGACATGTCTATATTATTAACCTTAAGATCCCTTAATAAATTGGTTTGATAAAGGGTTGAATTTGGGGGAATCATTAAAATTCTCAAAACTTTTGTATAACCAGATGCTCAGTTTTTTCAGAAGTAAATATTAGATGGCTTTTTTCATGCTGTGAGATGAGGCATTTCTTTTTCTCCTCTGGCTGATCTCAGAAACAACCCAGTCTCTCATCAGTAACCACGCTGTACTGTGGTAAACGATGAAGAAGGTGGAGGTGACTGGTCCAGCAGGCCCACTGTTTTGTATTCACACAAGGGGGCATCTTTGAAACACTCTTCCTATCTCTTTCTCTTAAGAAAAAGAAAAGTTCATGTCCAATAAATGTTGATTCTGAGCAAATAAATTATCTTTTAGTGAAAAAAAAAAAACAATCATAGAGACCCCACTAGAGAGCCCAGTGTCTGCTCAACAAACCCATGTTGAATCTCAGGTTTAGAGCATACCTCCACAGCCACCTCAGCCAGCTTCCCCAACGTGTACATTCCCTTCCCATTTGGGCACTTGTAAGTTGACAGAGTGTCAGGATGGCTGATTTGAACAGGTTGTCAGCTTCTCACCTTGAGTCTAAGGCGCCAGACTCAAGGTGAGAAATTGACAACCTACTCAAGCCAAACAATTTGGAGTGCTTCATGTAGTGCCTTTCTCACTGATCTTATTTA